TGTGTGTGTGTGTGTGTGTGTGTGTGTGTGTGTGTGTGTGTGTGTGTCTGAGCCAAAATGTTTCACCAAATCACTGATGTCACAGACGATTTGCGTTTTAAAGCTGCCTTTAAGTACAAGAGTCAACTTTGTCTGATAGCAAAATGTCTCATGATCCAGGGAACAAATTTTAATCCAACTCTCAGATTAAGCCCACTGGATGCACATTTGCACCTGAATCATTTTACACTCATGATGGCCACCACAAGCTAGCTGACAGTAGAAAACACAAACATGGCTGATGTGGTAGTAGCCAAGCATCATCCCTAACACACACTTTGAACACAACAAGTGATCACTGGAGCATACAGGGATTCTCACACACCAGTGGAGGCAGAAAGACTCAGGATGTGGTCTCAGTTTCTCCAGCTTTAATAATTGATGGAGTTACCTGCTACCTTGGTTTAAATTTAAATGTGACAGCCTTTTTGGTACAGTGGAGTTTTTCTCTGTTAGCTTAAAACCGACTCCTTTTATCTTTAACAATTCCATATGCAGTTTTTATTGCTAAAATTAAGTCTTAGATGTTGATGACAMAAATGAAAAGAAATCTAAAAACATTAATCATTGAGGCTGTTTATACAGATAATTTATATTGTAGAACAAATATATGACACAGTTAAACATGAGTATGTATTGAAATAAACAGACTTTCACTGTGATAAGCTGCATTATGTCATTATCACCTCTTCAGTAAATACTCAGAAGAATAGTAATATTTTTCATGATATCAAATTACTTTATCTTTATTTATTGAGTACAAATAATGCATTGTGAATACAAAAAAAAAGAACTAAAAGGGGAGGGTAACAAAAACAAAAACACATGCACACAATTACCTGTTACACCTGCCATCTTTCATACCTGAGTTTTACACTCAGATGTATGTCACAACAGTATGTTGAGCAGTAACAAGTTGGTGGCATGTTTGTAAACGTACAAGTGTTGAGAATTTTCTGAATTTCCACTAAAATGTGTCCAGTGGTTCCAGAGAATCTGGTTCTCAGTTTTGACTCTAAAAGTGAATACCAAGATTTTACACTCGGTGATGCAGGTAATTATTTCTATTTACTTATAAAACMCTTGGTACACTCTAAACACTTGGAATTTTGTGCTACTCCACACCAATTTTACTAAAGTCACAGCAACGTTTGTGTTGATTATCTGTGGCAGCCTTTTTAAACTGGGTGACTCCACTCACCCTGTGTCCTCCAACATCCCATAATCACAGATCCAACAGGTGGCCGACAGTAACCCAGACTGAACAATGAACCACAGACAGCTGTTGTGCAAAAACTACAATTCAGAGTCTCAGAACTCCCACCTATGAGGGGCAGAAGACCCTGACAGTCACACATGTTTTACAAAAGCTAGGACATTCAAAGAAATATTCAAGTTTAAAAATGCATGCATAAAGACAATATGACAATATCTGTTTGCCAAAGCTCATCATAAGTTTTAACAAATCGCTTTGAGTAATGACTGAAGTTTTTATAACTTAAGATGTTGGTGGGTTAATTTTCTGATTTCTCTGTCTGTCTGTCTGTCTGTCTGTCTGTAGGGGTCTGATGGCAGCAGCTCCAGGGACGACCTGTCAGCTCAGCTCCTCAGAAGAAACCATCAAATCAGGAAGCTGGAGGCCAAGCTGTCAGGTAGGCCCTGAGAGTGGAAGGTTAAACAGCTCAGTCTGCAGCTGTCTGAGGAAAGCTGGGTTGAAAAATCTCAAGCATCGCCTGAATCTGTAAATATAAAAACAAATAAACCCTCTGTCCAGGCTCTCAGTCTCATTTTAAACACACTATTTTTACACAGTACTAATTTGAAAAGTAATCTTTAAATTTCTAGTTCATTTGCTTTTTATGTACAGAATTTTAAAATAAGTTTTTTTGCTGTGTGTTTCACTTCTGCTTTCTGTGATTTTACTGGAGTTGTAAACTCTGACCATAATGTTTTATAAAGTAACACTTTTATTAGAAACAATTAGAYATTGTATTCTGAAAAACACTAACTTTGTTCTGGAGGAACAGTGTGTGAACTGAATTTTAGCTGAAGCTGCTGTCAGAATGCTGTAAATAACAGCAGGAAGGACAGCAGCGCAGCATGAGTTTGATCTGTCCACAGATAAATCTTTGTCTTTGAATGTTTGTGGGCTGTTTGTTATTGTGAACTTATTTTCTTTCTGTAGCCCTACTTTCCCTGCTCCTTTTTTATTTTTATTTTTTAGCCAAGTTGACTTTAATGGCTTTTCACCCTCTGGAAAGATTAAAGGTCACACATTCTCACAAAGCCTTTAAACTAGTTTGGTTTTCTCAGATGTGAAAATCATTAGTAACTTTACTTTCCATTAAATCTCAATCATGTTTTCCCTTTTGTTTTCTCCCTCTCCTTTTGTTCATTTCCTCCCCTGCCTGTCTCTGGACCGACCTGTTCCTCCCTCTCCGTGTATGTGTGTGTGTGTGTGTGTGTGTGTGTGTGTGTGTGTGTGTGTG